ATTATGCTATGGAACAGGAATTTCTAACATCTTCTGCACGACAAATCATAATCTCTGCTGCTACTGCTGAACAATTAATTGACCAACCACAATCCTTCATTCCTGTAATTGATCCCTACATGAGTCGTATAAATTGGTCAACTAAGGAAAGCCCTAAAAAGCTTAGATTGGATTTGAGCCTTCATTTGTGAATTTTTGTGTCTTTTGGTTTTATTATTGTGTTTTGTTATTTCTTATTTTTGTTTCAGTGTGTTTCAGGTTTGTCAGTGTTCGTTATTTCAGGTGATATCTTCTATACTCTATCTTTCTACCTAGAACATTAAGGACAATGTCTCGTTTTGGTTGGGGGGAGAGGGTATTAGTTGATAAAAAAAAATTATATTTCCTAAAGCATGTGCAAAATTGTTGTTACTATGATGGCAGAGTAAGGAGAACTTTTATGACTCTTGAGACGCATCTTAGTAACCATTCTTAACAAGGTCTATTATAATACTTCCTGAAATATTCAGATTTACAAACTCTCGCATTATTATCACTTAATTCTGCTCATATACTTATTTAACATGTTTTCTTAAACCTTAATTTACACACACACACTTTAACATATGATTGTGGGTTGCATATTGGATTATTACATTATTTATGTTCTTTTGTTAAAGGTAACAACTAAGGGAAAGGGATTGTATATAATTAAAAAAAAAAGAAAAAAAATTAAAAAAAAAAGAAAAAAAATGATAATAATAAAAATGTAGATAAGTTTGGTTCCGTAGCCTCCATAACCTAAACAATTAAGCCTGAAGGGGTGTTTTAACACCTAATACCCTAAAGTCAACTGACTTGGGAGCTATTAGCTCAACACTTGTTACATGGGTTGAGGAGAAAAGCTTAAGGAAATCAAATATTGCACTATCTACATATCAGTATCTGCAACCCGAGTTACTAAGCTCGTAGGGGTGTCTTAACACGTAATGCCCTAAGACCAACTGGTCTGGGAGTCATTAGCCAAAAGCTCGTTACATGGGTTTAAAATGCATAGTGTTTTTAAATTATATGTATATATATTTAAAAAAAAACAAGAAGGAAAAAAAAAGACAAAAATAATAATCCCAACCCAAGGAAGTTAACCTTAAACATTAGAACAAAAATTTTATTTTCTTCCAAGAAAAGCCTCATAATTATGTGTTGATACATTGAGCACAAAAGAAAGGTTTATGAATATCTTGTTAAGAGGTATTGAGCAGGTATATAAATTTAACGAGAGTTTGTTTATCTGGATAGATTAATGGAAGTTAAATGATGAATACCTTGCTTTGTGGAATTTGCAAAATGTTTTTGTATTTTAACGCTTTGATTACTAGGGACTAGTAATAAGCTGGTTGGTGGGTGTGATTAGTAGTTAAAAGTGCATTTTTATCATGGTTTTATATCATTATTTTGCACTTGAAGTATCAATAACTCCTTAACTAAAACATATTTTATAATAATATATCTAATAATATAAGATACCTTTAATTTGTGGTAAATGTTCATTTTAAATGAAGGCCTATCACATAAATGAAATGATTGATTGATGACTTTAAGAACTTAAATTGCAAGGGCAAAAAGATGACCAAAATTAGAAAAGAGATGTCGGTGCAATCCAAATTGGAACACTGTTTGGTAATTGGGTCATATCTGGAGCTATAGATCTCAGATTTAGGTCTACTTTATATGGATTCTGGAGCTACAGATCTCAGATTTAGGTCCAATTTATATGGATGGAAAGGTAAGACGTAGGCCTACAACTTTCATATAGAGCCCAAGATCTAAAAAGGCCATTTTCAAGTCCAAATTATAGCAACAACAAAGAAGCCCGAATCTATCCTCCAGCCCGAGCACTGTTTCCAAATTGTAGCAACAACAAAGAAGCCCGAATCTGTCTTCCAGCCCGAGCACTGTTTAGTATTTTGGCCATATCTGGAGTTCTAGAAGTCCAAATGAGCTGAAGTTTTTACACAAGAAAGCTGAGACAATTGCCTAAAACTTTGATGTTTTCAAGTGGCTCCAATTTTGACGTTATCAATTACGGTTTGGGCAGACAAGAGAAGATAAGGATTGTCACCAAGTCAAGAGTTGGCCACCCACTCATCAATTAGTCATCAAATCAATAGTTCCCAATTTTGGCCTATAAAAGGAAGCATTTTCCATGCATTTAGGCATCTTGGTGTCCAGATCAAGATCATGCTCTTCCTTTCTCTCTTTGTATTTTTTGTAATATTTATGCTTTGCTTTCAAGATCATGCTCTTCCTTTCTCTCTTTGTATTTTTTATGCTTTGTTTTCATTAATATCAAGTTTATGCCTTTCATTTCCTTTCCTTTACTTAGTTAACTTTTATCTTATTTATGCTTTACTTATTTTTGTTTCTTTCATTATGTCTAGCTAAGTTTATTATGTCAAGGTGAAAAGGTTACACTAATGGTGTAAGAATAAGTATAGTGTAAACTTAATATGGACTTTAATGTTTGATACTAACATGTTTTATATTTGTTATCTTGTTCACTTTTTAATACTTTGCTTGTTAAATGACTAATCTTAATTTATGTTATATAACACTTGGTACAAAAAATGCTTGGCACTTTCATAGCCCATACTGTATGGTATAACCGACACCTGAGCTATGAAAGGAACTTGATTTGTTGTTAACATAAGTTATAATCATGAATGCTTGACGAGATTTACAAGTATTAGCATTAATTGAATAAGATGACTAATATAATCATGTTAACAATCCATAATCTGATTGGAACCTCCTTTATATGTGGTTTCCAATTGAATAATAAGAGTTTATACTATACTTGTTTGACATAACATTAGTGGATCCTCTAACCTTGACATTTATTATTATCACTGTTTAATCGTTACATTAATATTTCATCTCAAAGTTCTCATCTTCTTCTTCTTCTTCTTCTTCTTCTTCTCTTTCTTTATTATTACTACTACTACTACTAGTAGTAGTAGTATTAGTATTATTATTGCTACTATTATTATTGTTTATAATTTGTACAATTAACCTCCCTGTGGTTCGACCCCGGTCTTGCTGGGTTATTTATTACTTCGATACTCCTACACTTGGGAGAAGACAACAATCTTTTGGTCGTGTCAATTATCCACCATCTCATTAATTTTCAAATAAAACTCATACAAGCTCGCCACCTTATTTGTCAGCAATTGTGCTTTGTCATAATCATACAAATCACTAAAACAAAATTTCACATATTTCAACTTTAAACGTGGATCTCAGATATCAGCCACATATAACAAAAAATTCTGATTTACTTCACACCCTCAATACTTCTCAAACTTTAACATCATATTCATCGTCATTCCACTTAAAATACTATCTTGATTTTTACACAACAAGTTTGTATGCATGTAAATCAATTCATTGAAGAAAGAATTTGATGTGACATGCAATGAGCTAGAAAATCTCAATGTAATCATATAAAAGATCTTTAAGAACTTAACCAAAGTTCTTGCATTTTCCCAATCCTCCAAACCAGATGGCCCTATGTTTTTTTTATTCCCCTTTGAATTAACCTCCAAAAAGTAACTCATATACCTAAGTTTTTTTCCACCTAACCTCACAAACACCTTTTCAAACTTTTCAGTAGCTTTTAACATAAAATAAATTGAATTCTATCGAGTTGCAACATCTAAACACAATGATTCCTTACGCTCTATATTCAACTTTTCAGCACACTTCTTAAATGCAAGATGCCTCGATGATAAAGATCTCACAAACCTAATGGCATTTCAAATCTTAACAACTGAATCATTAATCTCTTTCAAGTCATCACACACAATGAGGTTTACAATGTGTGCATAACATCTAACATGCAAGTACTCATTTGACAATATATTAGTTGGCCAATCTTTCATCACATTCTTTAAATATGAAATGGTCACATTATCAAAGCTTGCATTGTCTAATGTAATAGTCAACACTTTATCAACCCCCCACTCCAACAAACATTCTCAATAACTTGGCCAATTTTCTCACCCATATGATTGGAAACTTGACAAAAATTAAGAATTTTTTTATGCAAATTCCAGTCATTATCAATCCAATGAGCTGTTAAACACATATAGTTAATATTTTGGACTGATGTCCATGTTTTTGTTGTCAAACATAATCGTTGACCCCTAAGAGTTATCCTCAATCTATCCTTCTCTTCAACATAAAGTTTCAAACAATCTCTCATAATTGTAAAACAAAAAGGAATGTTAAATCTAGGTTGCATAGTCCTAGCAAACAATTTAAATCCCCGACCCTCTACAAAATTAAAAGGGAACTCATCAATTATAACCATCTTTGTTAGTGTTTGTCTACATTCATCATAATTATAACCTATTGCCTTAAGACTTCCCACATTTTGTTCTCCCAATTCACCCTTCTTTATCTTAGGTTCTAATACCAAAACCTTTTATTTCTTATCAACCACAAAAGGGAACTTCTTGCACACTTTTAAATCACTCCACATATTACTTGTGCCATTAATAATGTTTTCCACAATAATTACATTCAGCTCTAGAGACTTTAGGATCAACATCAAGTTTGAGGAAAAGCAGCAAAAAATTGTTCATAAGATTCGTCAATTACAGAACGAAAGTATGCTGAAAGGAAAGGTAACTTCAGAGAAATTTACATGGATGCTTGTATCAAGTTTGAAGTTGGAATATGTTTCATCTGTCAAGTATTAACTGTGGGGACTTCTAGAAGCTCAATTTATAATGGTATTCGGAACAGCCATGCAGATACATGCCTTGTTTTTGCCTTGCATTATACTTTGCATCTTTAACAACGATGTATCATAAATGCGATTCATGAAAAGTTTACATGCTTCATGTCTCACATTTGGTTATTAGTTAACCATTAAAACTTGAGCTGTTTTCATTTTTCTAGGAGTTGCCTATTGCCTTTGTTACATTCAAGTCCCGACGTGGTGCAGCATTAGTTTCCCAAACTCAACAGCACTACCATCCACTCATATGGATCACGGAAATGGCTCCAGAACCAAGGGATGTATCATGGAGGAGTCTGGAAATTCCCTTTAAGTTTTTGCCACTTTGCAAGATCGGGGTCGTTGTTGCAGCATCTCTCCTCACAATTTTCTTTGCAGTCCCAGTTACAGCTGTTCAAGGAATCGCTAAACTAGAGAAACTTAAGAAATGGTTCCCCCCAGCCATGGCTATGGAGCTAATGTGAGGATTCCAATTCCAATTCCAATTTTGTTTTTTTGGCATTTATGCTTTAAGAAATATTTAGTTTTCGCATCTATTATAAACTTTAAGCAATCACTTAACAGAATACTAATCGAATGTTTGAACTCTTTCTCAGAGTTCTGTATAACTCTCTGACATATTGTTATTGTTCTGCAATAGACCAGGATTAAGCTCCATTATTACAGGGTATCTTCCAAGTGCCATTCTCAAAGGCTTTATATATGTTGTTCCCTTTGCAATGCTTGGCATGGCTAAATTAGGCGGTTCGATTTCAAAGAGCAAGGAGGAGATTAAAGCTTGCAATATGGTTTTCTACTTTCTCGTGGGAAATGTTTTCTTTTTGAGCTTGATATCAGGATCCCTACTTGATGAACTTGGAGAATATTTGACCCATCCTAGGACTATTCCTAGTCATCTTGCCAGTGCTGTCTCTTCCACAATAATTACATTCAGCTCTAGAGGCTTTAGGATCAACATCAAGTTTTGTAAAGCGATCCCAAATTTGTGACTTCTTTTTATCATCAGCATTTCTTTTCCTAGATGTAAGGACTTGAGGTTGTTTACCTTTTGTATCTGTGATGGATCCTGCATTGGTTGATTCTGCATTAGGTTTTGAAGTTGAAGTAGTTGATGTTGGTGTAGTGCTCATGGAAGAAGCATTTTGAATTTAAATTGTTTCCATCTGTTATTACATAATAAAAACATGTTAAAAAACAATAATTTATAATAGATTAACAATAGTATCACATGCATAAGTTCAACTGTACTTTTAAATATTATTTTCACAAGTTCTTTTATTTTGGTTGATATGTTGTAAAAAAAATTATGTTGCTAAGTGCTGAGATTGTATTTTATAATTTCAATAGACAATAATAGAATAATACACACACACACACACACACACACACACACACACACACACACACACATATATATATATATATATAAACATTATTCTCTATTCATAAAATAAAAAAATTCAGTTTTCAAAATTGATAAATTACAACCAACCGAACCCCCTTTTTTTTAACATAAATAATAAACATTATTCTCTGTTTTTTTAGCACACAAAACACCATAATAATGGATTAGCAATGATATTTAAAACAAATGCCTCTCAGGAAACTATCTTTTCCCATTTTTCTCCCTGATGTAATAATATCAGGCTCAATACCAATTCACCGCATTGGTATTGCAAGCTTTTATCATTTGTTTAGTATCATTTTCTTCTCTAATTGCTTGGCTATTGACATAATGAGATAATTTTTCTAATCTTTTACCAGTACTCCACCTCAGAGTATGAGTGGAATTTAATCTCTAATCTCTAGCTAAAACGGCACAAAGAGGTTTCTTTAGTAATGATCAAGTTTTACCACTACTAGTGCCACTTATTCCCATTTCTTTCAGTGATGTGCTGTTAGCTTTAGCATTTGAAACAATCAATCTACGTTTTGTATATTAAATTAACATGCAAGAGTTTATATATTAAATTAACGCTCATTCTGATATTAATCTAGATTCCATTATTTTTTCATTGCTAGTCATGACCTTAATAAAACACGAATTCATTAACATATTGTCTTTCTCAGCAAAGAAAAAACACATTGTCTCTGTCATAAATTTCTTATAAAGAAATTTGTTAAAAAATAAATAGAATCATAGAGCATATGTTTCAAAAAAAAAACAAAGATTGATAGGAAAAAAAAAACCATACTTGGTGTGACACGATTCAAGGTCGGGTGTGAGAGAGGAAGGTGACTGCCTGACTGGATCTGGAGTTGGACTCAGGAGTTTCGGTGAGCCAATATGGTGTGTGTCCTACGATTCAAGATCGAGTGTGACCGTTGTGAAAGAGGGATGTGGCTGACTAGGATTTGAAGATGAAGATGTTGGGCGAGGGATGTGGCTGGTGTGGTCTAGTAGATGAAGATGGTGGGAGAGGGATATGGCTGACTGGCGTTTGAAAATGAAGATGCTAGGAGAAGGATGTGGCTGGTTGTGGTCAAGTAGATGAAGATGGATTGATTTCATTACAGATGTGAAATTGTGAATTGTGAATTGTGAGTTGAGGGAGCGGCTCAAGAGCAAGGAGAAGGATGGTTGGAGTAGGAGTATAGATGTTAGGGTTAAGAAAAATAATATGATTTTTTTGTATTTGTAGTACCCCTTAAATCAAACCGGTTCGGTTCGGTTGGGGTTTTTTCGGTTTCAGGTTTCTAAAACCAAAATCGAACCAAACCGGAAATTTTTACGAAAAAATTAATCGGTTTTTTTTCGGTTCAGTTTTTTTGGTTATTGTTTTCTTAGTTTTCTTGGTTTATTCGGTTTCTTGGTTTTTTTGCTCACCCCTAATATGAAGATTGTGCTAGTGGAATTAATTTTGAAGTTTTTATTCAAAGTGTTTTTTAGTTATCCTATGTATCTTCTAAGTATATGCATGTAACTATTAAATATGTGTTTATATTTTAAGTCTTTTGAATTATCCTAAACTAGTATAAATATTTATATCCATCACAAATGAAAATGAAGTTTGAGAATTTTTTGGTCTTAATTGATGTTTGAATAGATAAGTAAATTGAGATAAAGGGTTTGGTTTGATTTAATTTGGCTAGATTTGTAATTCAAGAATGATGTAGAAAAAAATATATTTATACTAGTGTAGAATAATTCAAGTATAAATATATGTTTGAGAATTTTTTGAATAAAATGGAAAATGTAGATAGGGTTAAAATTGGGTCAATTTAGCTATATTTTATGGTATTTTTTATTTTTTCTATTTTCTATTTTTTTTATTTTTTAGTAATTTTAATCATTTAAATAATTGGGATAGGGCTGGTAAAAGTATACGTTGGGTGGAGAAGATGGTGAAGAGAAATTAGGGTTAGCTATTAAATTATGATCATAGGTGTAACAGAAGGATGACAATGAGAGAGGATTACGAGTGAGTATACAAGATGGTAATGACGATAATGAGAAATTGGAAGAAAGCATAGAGGAATGAGAAGGTGGATGACTTAATGTCAGAGCATTGATGATTAAACGATTACAAGCTTGAAGCTCACCTTCTTCATTTTTATTAATTAAATTAATAAAATTAAGCACAAAATGATAATAGTTTTGTGCAAGTTTTAAGTCAAAATAACTTTTACTTGAAATAATATATTTAAAAATAATATCAATTATATATTTAAACATCACTTAATAATAGCTTAAATTTTTAGATTGTTATAATTACTGTGAGCTCTTATTAACCCTAGTGTGCATAACCTAAATTTTTGAATTATGATGATTATTTAATACCATGAGTTCTTTTTAATCCTAGTGTGAATAAGCCAATTATAGATTTGAGCTACATAACATGTACAATTGTAAGATGTGGTAATTTATGTCTCTAACAACTCTGTTTCCATAATAGTATAGCATTTTCCAATGTTTTTGTTGGGCGTTGTATTTCAAATTCTCAATTTTTTTTAATCATCTCATTTGTCGAGTTTCTATACTGGTAGTAAAGTTATAAAGAGCCCACCTTGATCAATATTATCAAGAAAATCAAATGACTTGTTAAAGCATACAGAAGAAAATTATTACAAAATAAAAACTTTAATAAACAGGCCTATTTTAGTAAATTAATGACATTTATTTTTTCCCTGATTTTAAACAGCTAGGAGTAAATGCAATTGATGATTAATCGATTCTATATTGTTTGATAGCCTCATTTTGCTGTTATGATTGTGGATGTCTAGATTAACGTGTGAAGTAACTTAGATTTCTGAAATGCATGTTCTATTTTCTTTCTGAACAACTGTGATTTTTTTTATTTGTTAGCAAAACAATGAGGTTGACAATGATAAATTAAGTGTTTTCTTTATTCACTATATTCAATCTTGTTTCTGTTACAATGCTTGCCTCTATATAGATAGCAGAAGTAGTATATTTACATAAGAATTTTATTAACTAATCTACCATTTAACGTTATGGATAGATTCCTATTATTATAGATGAATTCTAACAGACTAATACTAGTTGATTCTAAATTACAACAATAGGGAAGAAATATATATAGAATACAGTAGGCTTGAATATCTTGAATCTTCAACACTCCCCCTCAAGTTAATGCATATATCACATATGCCCAACTTATTGAGACAACTATTAAAACTTTGGTTAGGCATTACCCTGGTTAACACATCAGCAAGTTGATCTTGAGATCGAACATGAAGCACTTTGATAAATTTTTCTTCTAACTTTTCTTTGATAAAATATGTATCCACCTCAACATGTTTAGTTCCATCATATTAGATGGTGTTATGGATGATATCATATACTGTCTTACTATCACAATATTATTTTATAGGATTTGTCTGCTTAACAAGTAATTCCTACATCAGATTCCCGATCCATAATAACACAAATTGCTTTGGCTATACCCCTTTATTCGGCTTTAGCTGATGATCTAGCCACCACATCTCATTTCTTACTTTGCCAAGTGACTGAATCCCCCCCCCCACAAATGTAAAATATCCGGATGTAGATTGTTGATCCTCTATTGATCCAGCCCAATCAGCATCAGTGTATCCTTCAATATTTAAGTTCTCCTTTCTTAAACAAAATTCCATTTCCCAAAGATGATTTCAGGTACCGCAATATATGAGTAATAACCTTCATATGTTTTTCGCTTGAGGAGTGCATGAACTGACTAATCATACTTAGAACGTAAGCCAAGTCAGGTCTAGTATATGCAAGATACATTAACTCCCCACCAGTCTGTGATATATCTCTTTATTAGTATGAATTTGTTGTGGATGTATACTCAGTTTTAGATTTTCTACTATAGGAGTACTGACTGGGCTACATGTTGTCATACATATTTCTTTCAATAAATCCAAGGCATACTTTCATTAAGATAGAAATATTTCCTTTTTTTATCTTGATACTTCAATGCCAAGAAAGTATTTTAAATGGCCAAGATACTTCATTTCAAATTCCTGAGAAAAATGATTATGTAATGCTTCTTTTTTCTCAGGATTATTTCCAGTTACTATCATATTATCAACGTATACAATGTGAGTTGTGATTGCCCCTTTATCACCTTTTAAGAAAAAGGAATGATTTGAGTTGCTTTGCTTATATCTAATAGATTTCATAAATTTAGTAAACCTTTCAAACCATGCTCTAGGAGATTGCTTTAACCCACATAGGGATTTCTTTAATCTGCATACATGTGTGCGTCATTAGGTTTGCAAAATACATTCAAGAGGTAATTCCATATATACTTTTTCTTTGAGGTCCCCATGTAATAACGTATTTTTTACATCAAATTGGTATAGGGGCCAGTCAAGATTCACAGCTAGAGATATTAGGATTCGTATAGTAGTGATCTTAGCCACTGGTGCAAAAGTCTCTATATAATCAATCTCGTAAGTTTGAGTATATCATTTGGCAACCAGCCTTGCTTTAAATCTTTCAATGGTACTAACTATTTTATGTTTAATGTTAAACATCCACTTGCATCTAACTAGTATCTTTTCTATGGGTAAGCCAACCACTTCCCATGTTGAATTCTTTTGCAGGGACCTTATTTCTTCATTCATAGCTTCTTTCCACTTAAAATCTTTTAGAGCTTCTTACACATTATTAAGAATAGATATAGCAGATAATTGATTTA